CGCGGGGAGCCCGGGGTGACGCGCGCTCGGGTGACGCGGGGAGCCCGGGGTGACGCGGGGAGCCCGGGGTGACGCGGGGAGCCCGGGGTGACGCCCGCTCGGGTGACGCGGGGAGCCCGGGGTGACGCGCGCTCGGGTGACGCGGGGAGCCCGGGGTGACGCGCGCTCGGGTGACGCGGGGAGCCCGGGATCATCCGCACGTGGGTAACTGGTGAGCACTGATCACACTGGAACACAGGATCACGGCGCACTGGGGTGACAGGGGCGCATGGGGGTGCCCGGGTCACGCGCACTTGGGTGACAGGGTAGCCCGGGTCACGCTGGAGTACGGGATCACAGTGCACTTGGATGACGGGAAGCCAGGTCACGGGCACCTGAGTGATCATTTGGGCTGCTGCCACTATCTTGGCAAAAGGGGGGGAGGGTGCTATCTTGGCAACAGGGCCCCACGGTTGCGTGGTCACCCGCAATCAACTAGAAGAGGGACCCAAAGGAGCGAGGCTATCAACCCCTTCACACTAAGACACCCCCAAATTGTCTGTTCATGCTTGACGCCACGTGCTTTCAGGGGGAAAGGTGGGTGACGCACAATTATTTCCCCCAAAGGGGACTCCTGGAGATCCCTGGAGTCATTCTAGTAACACACCTGCCTTCAGAATGTGGGGGGGGGGGGGAGACTGTGGAACAGACAGCAGAACTCTTTGATTCTGCAAGTATCCACACCCGCGTCCTGTGTGCCTGGCTCTAGGTTGTTATGTGGGCAGCAGAGATGGAAGACAGAAAGGGTGGTGGCCTTTTCAACTGTGTGTGCAGCAAGCGACTGCCCTTCACCAAACTCTCCAGATACCAAACTCCCTTCACCAGTGGGCCTTGCGGGTCACTACAGTCTGCACTCACGTCCCTCTCTGTTCACTGCCAACGCTCAGGCACGCTGGCCTCTCTCATGCTCCCAACTCACTCCTGCCACAGGACCTTTGCACAATCTCTTTTCCAGATTTTCTCCCTTCCCCACTTCACTCAGATCTCAATTCAAATGCCACTAGTTCCAGGGCAGAACTCTCACCTCCACATCTCAATTCCAACGCTACCTCGCCCACAGGGAGACACACAGGGCACCCTCTCCACACTCACTCTCCTGCCCCTGCGGCTTGCTTTGTCCCCGCGGCACCTCTCGCGGCCTGGAAGAGGACGTGACTACCGCTTGTAGCTTCCCTTGTCCGTCTCCGCCGCACAGTGGCAAGTCCCGCCGGATGAGGAGTCCCTGTGCTGTACCCACCGCGGTAGCGGCCGGGCCTCGGGGAACCCCGGGCACACAGAACGCGCTCAGTGAAGAAGCAGGGACCGTCCCGGGCGGCGGGCGCCTGGAGGGCAGGGAGCAGCCACGGGGCCCTGGAGACGCCGGACTGAGGTGACGCCGAGGCAGGCACGGGCACAGTGTGCAGGGGACGCGTGCAGAGCCGGGGGGTGGGGGCTGGGGCGCTTCAGGGAGGGACTAGAGCATAGGCGTCGCCCGCAGAAGACAGGGCGCTGGCGCGCTCTGCAAGGACCCCTGGGAAGGCCCGGGCCACCACGGCCGCCCACCGCAGGGGGGCGCTGTCGGGCCGCTGCAGCCCTGGGCTCTCCCGCAGGCGCTGGGGAAGGCGGACCCCGGAGAGCATGCAGCGGCTGGGTGTCGGGACGGGCCCACGG